GAAGCGTTGGCTAGCAAAGTAAGGGATATGTTTCCTTCTGGACAACTCATTGCAACAGAGTGAAATCTTTATACCTACATCTTAATTTCTAGGATTTAAATTGTTTCACTTTTCTTCCCAAAAGACTAAACCTTTTCCAGATCAGCCTATTTCAGCTGTTGTTACAGGTACATACCAAGTTGCAGTATTTCACATGTATTGCAGGTTTGTTTGATTTCCTTACAGTGCCTTCACTACACCACACATAGTGGGTTAAGTCTGTAAACTGCTGGATCACAGCTGTCAGTTTTGAAACAAGAAAGCAACTGTTTGAAAAAAACAAGTTTCATGCTCCCCTCACACCCAAATTTGGTATGTCATCTATGAAATTAAACTGCTGTCACATCCAGGGTGAGAAATATCCAGCCAGAGATGTGGGAAAGGCATGAAGTCTCGCATCTCACATTCAGGGTGAAAATGAGAATTTTATTTATTTGGAAAATGGAGTAAAATGGAAGTGCTCTGACTGATGCAGACCTTTTTATCCCCTAGGAGGTCCCACTATATCAGACTTGTTGGTCATGGAATTTTGCAAACAAGCAATGCAGCCTTTTACCCACCCACTAGCAAAGTCGCCATGGTGCCCAAGGGGAGCAGGGGAAGACTTTGGGTTCTTGGACCTTAAGCTGGTGCTGACTGACATCATTAGGATTAATTTCATCACTCCAGGAGGCCTTGGAGAAAGTGCCTGAAAAAATATCCTCAATTCTCATAGTATTTCTGGTGCAATAAATGAATTTGGAAAGAATCTGGACGTTCATGCTTACTGCCCACAGGGATCTTCTCAGAGGATCACAGTCAGCATGGCTTAAATTTGGATCATTTGTGTATAAAGACTTTCTTTTCACCCCTTTACATTCTGACCTATTAAATTTTAAATTATTATGTAGGCCATGGAGCCTTGCTCAGGGACTCTGGGCTGGAAGAAGGCATTGCCATGACCCAAGCACCTCTCAGGAAACCCTCTTTGCTGACCAAGCTGGCTGGTGAAGACCTGCTTCCCCGGACATGGCGGCAGCAGGCCCTGCTTTGCTGTCTGTTGGAGGCTTCCCTTCTGCTTCTGCCTCTGACCAGGTTTGCTGGCGGTGTTCAACACCTTCCAGCATCAGGGGCTTATTTTTGTCTCCCAGCTGGCTCTGGGCTGCCCAGCCCAAGCTGCAGACCATTAAGATGTTCAGACACAATGGCACTGCTTTAAATTTTCACTTTTTATAGAGAGATCTAAACCAGAGGAAATTTGATGTTCCTTCTAATTATTTTTTACTTCAAAATGGGGAGTTTTAAGTGCACCAGTGAGGAGGAGAACTGCTAGAAGCTATAGTGCTGCTCTCCATAAGGAAATGATGGCCATGGTCCTGTCAGTAGAGCTGGAGCAGGGTTAGAGCTTGTTAGTGCTTCTCATACCATATTTAATCTTAATAAAGTTATCATCCTTCTTCTGTCAGTTCAAAGGGAAAGTTACTATTGGTGGAGTCACAGGTCAAAAAAATGCAAAACCAATATTGAGTGAGCTTTGAGAAACTCATCCAGTCACAACTCACAGGCATTTTGCAGCTGTTGTTGGTGACATGGGACATTAACTCATGTCTCTTCAATTCCAGGGTGGGAAAGGGGGTGATACTGGGCTTGCTGAAATCGAGTGAACCTGACATTGATTTTAATGGGAGCAGACTTGGGTTTGGATCAAGCTGTATCTTTGTGTTATGTGTGATTAGGGAAGAAGGGGAAATGGGGCTATGGCCACGTTCTCCACTTGTGTTTTTTACGACTGTCTGGCGGTTAATAAGCATGCACAAGCAAACTCCAGCTTCTGCCTGTGGGAAACCAGCCTCTGCATCAGGGCCCATCTTGCTCTTGGGTGCCTGCGGCCGGTGGTCGGGCAGGCATTGCTGCCATCCCGTGGAGAGCCGGGCGGATGGAAGGCTGCGGGGTGCAGGGTGCCCGGGGCAGGCCCCACGGCAGGGCGGGGCTGGGGATCACCTCGCATGGTTTGGGCCAGCGCCATCGAGTATTCCCCTGGCCAGCTGCAGGGCTTTAAGAGCCAGTTGGCATTGCACTTCTCCTTGTGCCTGCAAGAGCTGGAGCGGGAATCGCACCCGCGCTGCGTAAAGTAGCCGGACGTGAGAGCTGCTGGGGCGAGCTGCCGTCCTCTGCTACTTACTCGGTGCTCAGATCCAATGGGGACTGCTCACCTGGATGGGTGGTGGAGGGACGTTTCTTTTCAAGAGCACTCTCTGTACTGAAATCACAGCCTCAGCCTCAGTTTTAATCCCATTTTTATACTGTAAAAGTTTAATATTTTGCTAAAAGATAGTATATAAAAAAATTCAACCCAACAGTGATTGGAGTAAAGATATATGCACACAGCTAAAAAGATGGGTGGAGAGCAGGAAAAGCAGATCATCTAATCACTGAAAAACAGTTATAAACAGCAATAAAATTAATATCTATATTAAACTAGCAGTGCAAAGATACAAACTGGAAGCAGCTTTACATTAAAAATACAGCTTTTTAAATACAGAAATAGCACCAATTTACAAAAGACAATCAGAAATGTAAACGTGGCAGGTAGATTCAAGTATAAGTTATACACTCACCCTCCTCAGCAACTGTCTCGGGACAGAAAGGTTTCACAAACCCTGCAGAACATCCTGGGTACGCACTTCACCTCAGTGCAAATACAAATTCTGCTTTTCCAAACCTACTGTGCTGATGAGTTGTTCTTATTTCATTTTACATCTTAGCTTTCAGTGAAGGCAAAGATAGGAAAGGTAAACTCATTCCCTCTTGATAACCAACCCTTCCACCCTCACTGGTCTAGTTCAGCAGCTCATGTACTGCAAGTAGCATTGATCCCTTTGCCGCCCAGCAGCTTCGGTGGTCCTCCTCCTATTTTAGTGAGAATTTTGCATTGACAAAAACAAGACAGCATACCCACCGCCTTCTTCGCCCAGCCCCAAATCTATTTTCACAACCATGAACCATCAAACAGCTTTGATTGTGAGAGAGTTGATCCTCATTTCCAGATCTGCTGTATTTATGAAAATTCAAAACTGGAAGCAGAAATAGGAAACTGAAGATCCACTTTCAGTCCCTGCATTTTCAAGTATAGTTAGGTTAGTTACTGACAAAGCAAGTCAATTTTTGTGCTGATGCTTCAGCTAGAGCGAAGAGTCAATATTAGCTCTGATCCTCCTCTCTGCTCCCAGCTGCCATTTCACTAAAAGGCTGCACCATACTAGAGGGGAAAGACAAGGTTTGAATAATCAACATCCCCCATGTCACACAGAACCCTAGCAGCCTGTTTCCAGCCCCAACAGCAACAAATTCATGCTAGCAGAAGTGCAGGGGCAGCACCATGCCAATTACACATTGCTTTTCAAAAAGAAATTACTCTCAGTGGGCATATAAGAAACAATTCAGAAGCAAAACCTGTAAACTTTCACAACTGTAGTGTAATTAAAAAAAAATTTAAAATTTAGCTGTCTGAGGATTTCTCTTTACCACCCCCAAAATTTCCTATGATAATTCTACTATAGATTTTTTTTCAATGAGGGCCAACCAGCCCTCCTTATAAGGCTATTATTGGTCTATTCTAAGATAAGGCCACATTACTCCAACTCCCAGCTTCACTAAAATTCTTTCTTAAACTCCATTTTCATAATACATTTCATTATAAAAATAAAAAACCTCATCAAATACCCAACTCCCAAAGTTCTAGCCTCCCTTAACCAATGAAGTAGCACATCCAACAGTGTTTCTTACCCTTGGAAAATCAGTGCCAGTACCAATGAGAGAAGAGCTGACAATGCCAGCCTGATGTTTCCTAAAATTCCAGAGTAACATGATCTTGACAGCAACACTTTCTATCTTTTAAATAGAAAACTGCACAAATTTAATTACAGGTTGCTACACAGTGGAAACATATAAGCATTAATTCTTAAAATTCTGTCCTATGTTATTAATAGCACCATGCATTATTTGAGGACCCTGAATGTTAACTGTTAGACTTCATCTTTATCTTCTCCTAAGGAATACGGATAATTTTTTCCCACTTCCAATATTCATGGCTCCTGCTCTTTTCAGCTTATTTTTATGGTTTAGACAGATACCAACCAAAAGATAAGATTTCCCTTGTCTTCAAGTGCTCAAATGCACTATTAACTAGTTATTAACCAGAAATTCCTGTAAGTGAAGACTTAGGCACTTAAGTACATACCCCTTAAGTAGACTTAAGTAAACCACTAAGTAGGCACTTAAGCAGACTCAGGTTAGACTGAATCTAATCATGTGGCTAATGATTTACCAGTGTTCCTTGGTCACAAAGTCTAGACTATATATTTAAAAGGGAGTTAAAAATCTTAGCACAGCTCTCTCAGTGGCTTGCCACTCTCAAATTAGTTTGTCAGACTTATTAAGGAATCAAGTTTTGTGTTCTTTACAGCTAACTTGTACATTTTGCTCAGAGTAAAAGAAAAAAAAAAAACCCAAGGACTAATACAATTCACTAATGCAATTATAAAAATGTTAACATTCACAGTTATTTTGGTCTTAATATTTTTCACATGTATACATTCAATCATATTGTGTTACATTATTATTAGGTTTTTCTAACCACAAGTGCTGGGCAAATTGTACAACCAACTGACATTCAAGTAAGAGAAAATATGAGAAAATCTGTTATTCTGAAGCTGCAAAAAATTTTTTTGCACAAAATCCCACTCCAACGTACAAAATAAATAGCAAGAGGCTGCACCGCAAAGGCAGAATTTGACAGATTGGAACCAAGGAAGCAGCTGCTCTCACAACTGCAAAAGTTTATCATTTTCACCACAGATTTACTCAGGGTAAGAAGAGTACATGCAAAAAAAAAGCTTACCCCAGATAAGTGCTAGACTTCTCACTTAAAACCATGAATAAAGAACCCATGGGGACTCCAAGTAAATCTGTTTGCATCTCCTCACAGCAATAAAGAGAGTTTCCAAATTAAGACCACAAATGCAATTTGATGCCCACAAGGCCATGTGAAGCACAGCATCTGAATTCAAATCGGTACTGAAGGAACAATCTCAGTAAAAGGTTTTCAGTACCAAGGACGATTTGTGAAGAAGGTGGCTGACAGAACTGGTGGGTGAATAGATAGCAGAGAAGCATGCCAAAAGGGATGCCATTTTAATGCGCTCCTCTTGTCAGGTAAGAGCTTGTTCTCTCTTGTAATTGATACCAGGTTCCTAGGACAATCTCTCCACCCTTTGCAATGACTGGAGTTAGTCAGGGCTGGTACTAGAGATTTCCAGTCTCCTCTGCACAGAACTAGCATTTCTGGTCTGGTTGCCCTCAGTTTTCTTCCACGCAGCAGGGTCTCCAAGACTTCCAGGAGTTTTGAAAAATGCCTCATGATGTGCAGGACGAATGCTCTTGGGAGTGAGGGGAGTGGACGAAGGCTATTTGTGAAACAAAACCAAAATGATTCAGTAGGGTGTTCTCAAAGCCTACATTCAAGCATGTAAACAGAAGACAGCTTGTAGACATTAAGCCCTGTACCCTGCTACTGTAGGGAACCATGTCATACATCCTTCCAGAAGCTCCACATAAAAAGCTACAGGCTTTGCCCCCCTTTTTGTTCTGAAGCTGCCTGCCAGTACACCATTGCTGGAAGCTGAAAGCCTCGATCTCATTTCCAACCTAAATGCATTCATGACTAGTTCATACTCTTTCATTCTTATGCCAATCTTGTCCTTTAGCTTAAATGGTTCTTTCCCTTCCTTGATGTTTTGTTATTTGTTAGTGTCAACACAGATCTAAAATTAGTCTCCTAAACCCTGGCCACTTCTGTTTTAAGTGCCACTCTACTGTAACCTCTAGTGTAAGTATCTCTAATCAGATTGGCTACCAACCAGTCTCTATCACAGTCTTTTTCTAAAGCTTGAACAAGATAAATGTAAAGTAACATTCATAAAGCTTCCAGAAGTTCCGTCTATCTGTCACTGCATTAGACAATAGGAAAGCAAATCAGATTTAAGAATGTGAATTAACGCAGTGCCAAAATGTCACTGCTAATAGTTGTAAAGACCTAGGTAACAGTGCAACATGACTATTTTATGTCACTCATTGTACTTCAGATAAATGAGTCCTTCACTTCTAAATTTCTTTTTTTCTAGCTCGCAAGGTCTGTAAACCCACAGAAATCATTGTCTTCCCCCAGTACTTACACTGAACAGTGGTCAGAACAGGGGTGAGGAGGTAACCCAGGACACTACTACCCAAGAAGTGCTGCAGCCAGTTGACTCCTGAATAATCAATCCTCCTGAAGTGTTTCTGTAGCCTTTGCATAACATACTTACAAGATAGTGTCAAACTGGGAAAAAACCCTGACTCAGATTGCTGGGGAAAAAACCCTGTAACTAATTTTTTTCTCCATTGCTATAAGATTTGTAAAGATTAAGATTTTTATGACATTAAAATTCCTGTAAGATTTTTAAAACTCAGCAATTCACTGTTCAGGGCTAGCCATGGTAAGCGAGCTATGTCTTTAACACTGTCCCAAGCCCTGCCAGCACTACAGACGGACACACAAACTAAGCAGAAGACACCAGCTCCCAGCGTGCCAACAGACACACCAGCACCAGCCTGCAGTGCGAGCTGCCTTCTCTCCCAGGGACCTGGCACAGCTGTTTCACCATCACTCAACCACCTTTCACACTTACCTGCTGCAGCTTCAGAAGGGTCACTGGGTGCCCCATACACACTGGGGAGTCCAGTTTAATAGCACTGCAAGACCTTGCAAGCACAGGACTCAGGTGCAGAGCGGGGTTTGCTGGCTGCTGGGGATCCACTGAAGGCACTGGTAAGACCTTGGGGGTGACCACCGCCGTGGTGCCTATGAAAGCAGGCGTTGTTGATGCCAGGCTGGACATAGTGAAATTCACGGAGGCAGTGGTTGAGAAGGAGCCATCGGGAACTGGGGAAAGAGGACTGGTGACTGCGGGAGAACAGACGAGAGGGAAGGAAGCCAAGGCTACCGACGGCACCACAACACAGGGGACGCTCAGAGAAGGTAACTGGCTTGCAGCCATGCTGATGGCACCAGGGTCTTGGTTTGCAGAGAACAGGAAATTAAAACTGTTTAATCCTAAACCAAAGAGAGAAAAAGCAAAGCATTAATACAGTTCACAAATTGGAATTAAGCTATTATAACTTCATCTAGAACAGGAAAGAAGTATGACAACAAAGAAAGAGATAGGCTGTCAGGAAGTAGACTGCGACAAAAATAAGAAATAAAGGAAGAAAACTGTCACAAACTCATGGCTCTTCTGTAAAGCTCCCTTTCCTTACTTTCCTCCATCTCCCCCCCTACTGTCTGTTCATTGTCTCTGCATCCATTTACTTTGTTCATATTAAGTACCAACCACACATACCTTGCTGTTTTCTGCTCCTAACTTTAAACAAACTTTTTTTTCACTAATGGGAATCATATCCTCTGCTATATAAAAACATATACACTGCTTTTAACAAGAAAAAAACCCCAACAAATGGAAAACATGCACAAAGAGACCCCAGAGATACTCAGTTTCCTAAGAACAGCTGAAATGATGTTTTGAAACAGAAGCTGTTCTGGTTCCCAATTTATCTGACCTTCCAAAACACCAGTATCAACATTTTCATGAGCATCTCCATCCTATAAGTGAAATCTCATTGACCCCATTGTGCCACAAGTGAATCAAATACTAAAGCACTTCTCATGGAAATCTGCCATGTGTATCCCATTCCCACAACACAGTCTTCTACTCCACGCAAAGAGAGGCACAAAAAATGGTAGACATGAAATCCTCTTGTAATATTTTCAGCTACTTCTTCTCCATCCCTACCATGTCCTATGAGCAGCCCTGGCTACACTTCCAGTGCCTCAGTTTTTGTGAGTTTATCCCAACGATCCATGTTACAAGACAGTATAAAGTTTGTAGATGATTAAATTCACCCACTCGGGGGATGCTGTTGCACTATTCTGCCTGCCTTATTGACAAATCTAGACTTCCAACTCCTCCAGGTTTTGAATGCTGGATAGGTGTCTTTTTTGCTGCCCCTAATTCAAACATGCAAACCCCACATTATTAATCTTTATTAATGTTTGGGTACCTCAGAAAAATGCCTGTATTTTCAGGGAAGCAACAGTTCATCTGGAGTCAAGAGAATTCAGACCTATTTAACTACTTGGAGAATTGTTGACAGTTTTCTGTGCCAAATACAGACTTATTCACCTATCTATACGTCTCCCTATTTGCTCAGTGAACAGATACAGGAATTTGGGTGCCTCTACATCTCATGGCTGTCCTTACCAGCTGTAGGCTGAACATAAAGATATTGTGGTAGGAAAGGTTGATTGGCATTTTCTTTAGAGATGTGCTCTTTTCCTGGAAAGGGTTCATCTTTAATCTGAGGCTGTTTTTCTTGCCCCTGAGAATCCAAAGGCTTAGCAGACCCCTTGTTTGCAGCCTCTGGAGCAGCAGGACTTGCGAGGTCAAGATGAAAATCTTCGAGATGTACAGCAGATATACAGCCACTTCCTGGGGTAGATTCTGCCTTGGGTGACTCAAAAGGCTTCTAAGCAAAAACAAAAGAGTAAATGAAGAGTCCAAACCGAAATAACAGTGTGATGTCTCTCATGCACCTTCCTCAGCTACAGAGTAAAACATGCATCTGGGCAAAGGAGCAGCATAAAAATGAATAGCAAGTCACCAAGTTAAAATTTTGTTTGAGGGTTTGAAGAGACATATTAGTGATGCCCAAGCCCTATGCCCTCACTTTCAGTACTTGGAGACACTAGATAAGAAATACCTGAGTTTGGGGATTAATTTTTTAATGATAAGGAAAAACACCTGTTTCAAACGGCTTATATTCAAACACTGATATGACCTTGAGCCTGACCCCCCTTTTCAGTAGTTAAGAGAACCCTGAGATAGCTGCACTTCACCTTCACCATCATCTTTCTCTTACCAGCCTGGTGTGGGCAACACTGAGCTTGAGAGGGAGCAACTCAGGCTGGAGAGCAGAGGGAAACTACAAATCACATTTGCTATAGCTCAGTGGAGTAAGCAAAGCTGCTGCTGTCTGGGAAAGCCCAAGCTAACAGGGGAAGATAAGGACTAATAGTCACATTGATTTCTTCCGCTCTGACAGGCTGTTTTGTTGAAGACAATGATCAGGACACAAAGAACAGCTAAACATCGTTTCACTATGAAAAGCAATCACAGTCCAATTTCTGCTGGTATCATGAAAATATCTCCCAGTTAATGCCTATATTTCGTGACACAGCCCCCTTACAATTTTATTAACATGTGGGAGGCAGCATTTGTATCTGTAACAAGACTGGTGTAGTGAATTTTCACTTCTGGAAACACTGTCTTGGGCAGAAGTCTTTTCTCACTCAGGATGCGTGATATTGAAATTCACTTCTATACCTTGGGTACTACGAGTGAGAGTGGCACATCATTCTGTTCCATGGTCTGCTTTTTAGTAGCTGGCTCTTCATCATCTACAGGTGCAGAGGGCCATGCACACTTGTGGGAGCTGCGTTTCTGGCAGAGAGCTGGAGGTACGGCAGCCTGAGCCTCTGCACTCCCATTTTGTATGTCTCCTGTGGTGGGTAGGGTCTCCCTCAAGTTATTTTCCTGAAGACTGCCACACAACATAAAAAGGGATGAAGATGGGAAGCACAGGAAAGGTTGGTTGGGGAGCAGGGTAGGTTTTCCATTTTCTGTTTCGGAGGCTGCTGGTGTTGAAGGATGTGGATCTTGGTTGCTGATGCCATTTGGAAATGAGAGGCTTGGCACATCTGACTGAACCACAGGGAAAACTGCCTGAGGCAAAGGGTTAACACAAAAATCAGAGTCCCCAGGAACTGGAAGGAGGGAGAGAGGTGAGGTTATGCTTGGGTTCCTTGCTGAATTTAATATCGTTTCTGTGGCACAAGCTTTATTCCTAAAAATAATGGAAAGAGGAAAAACATTTAGTCCAAAATTAAACGCCTATTCTATCTTTAAAAGCAAACAGATACATTATTGGACAAAATTCCACCCCCCTCCAACCACTACTTTTACACAGTTTACACGGGGTGTGTGTCACTTTTTATTATTTCTAATTACACAGAGGCAGACTTAACAGGTTTTGGACAGAACAATAATGCTTTTGGTTGCACTTGACTAGAGTCCATCATTCACAAATTAATTCAAATTAGGACAGATGTAGAGAAGACACAATGACATGACAGAGAGGCTTCTTGATGGAATCATGATTTGCTCAGCCTACCTAGACAACAAGTCAAAGGAGGCAGGGATGACCTATATAAGCACACATGAGATGAAGAACTACTGAAGCTAAAGGCCAACAGTGTACAAGTACAGGTGGGTGTAAATTCACCATTAAAAAAGACAAGAAAGGCACACTGAGACCTATCAGCATTAAAATAGTAATAACAAGACTCTGGCAAATTTCTATCTCACTCTCATCAGTGAAACTAAACATGACAAGCATGAAGCTGAAACTGGACAGAAGTCAAGACAAACCTACCTAGTATCTTTCTCTATTTTCTGCCTGCAGACAGCTGTTAGATTTATCATTTTGGAGCAATATTCATCTGAATTCACAATACAGGCTGAAAGAACAAAGCATTCAATTAATAACGGGTAGGTTTACCAAGCATATTTTGATACTGGCCATATAAAATAATTGGTATAATTTTTCTATCCTGGCACATTTTTATAACATCCATTAATCACCTAGAGCCAGAACCTGCAAGACACTCAGAACTCTCAGTCTCACCAGAGATGTGCTCAACATCATCATTTCCTATAAGAGGGAACTGTGAAAAGCCCTGTAATTGCTTTATTTTTTTTAACAGCTATCCATTAGATTGTTACAGTAAATTCCACTATATTAGGTACCATAAAATAAAGCAAGCTTTTGTGGCTAAAGGATCTTCCTTTATCTATACTAAATTTTAACAGAAGAAACTGTAGTATAGTTGCAGTTAGTGGAGAACAGAAACATTTACTGGAAAACAAACTGCAGATTCAAGGCAGTATGGCCCAGATTCATCTCATCTAACTTTAGGCACTTGACTGGAAGGTCCAATACAGAAGTCTCATCACATGGACAGTTAGAAATATAGGCATCTCCCAAGGGTAGTTCACATATTTAATGAGGCTGATTCACCCAATCAAGTGCCTCAAACTGGTGGGTCCACATTTGGGCAGATCTAGTAGGATACAAAAGAACATGCTTCGTTAGTAGTTACCTTGCCTCTCTTGATGTGGGCTGTTGGGCTCAGAGTTGACCTTCCTTCTGGTCCCTTCACAAGGCTGTGTGCCATTAAATGAAGCGTGACGTGTAAACCTTTGCTTTCCAGTAGCACAGATCTGATATGAGGCACAGGCTCCTGTCTGTGTCCCTGGCAGAGGCTCAGATGCTGGGCTATGTCCTCTCTGCTCATCTGTAGAAACATAATATTGTACAACAGTCCTTCAGGGAACACAGCTCATCATTTAGGCTTCTGCCATGTTACTGAACTTGGCCATAAGAGAAGAGGTAATCTCTCTACCATCTCAAACTGGACAACACTGAAGCAGACCTAAGCTCAGTAAGCACCAGTAGACAAGATAAGGGCTTCTCTCCTTTCCATTCTAGGGCAGCTGCAGCAGCAGCTACACTCTAGTGTGTGTAGCCAAAGAGGAGAAAGGGTACTAAGATGGCATTAACACTACCCTTCACTTTTACTTGGTCCTGGCACTGGCCAGACCCAATACATTACCAAAGGGCTTCCCTTTGCTCTGTCTTCCAGCCAAGAATCAGCAGCTTACAGAGATCCTCTGGCCCACCACCTCCTTCTTTGTAGGCAAAACTTTTGTACAACGGGAGGCATGCAAGAAGCAGCCCTGCTCTACCTTGGTAAGTCCCCTTACAAAGAGAATAATTAATTGTCTAATTATTACAGAATTACTGAGATGTAGCAAACCAGAAAAGCTGTGGACCCAGATTTGGAGATGTAGGCATTATCTGCCACTGTTCAACAATTCATACAGTTATTTGTAGTTATATAACTTGGTGTAAAAATACCAGCAAGATACAATATCCTTCAACATCCTTCCACAGCTCCAGCCCTTGAGAGTAAAGTCTAACAAAGGTAAAAGTTTTGCTGACCAGCAGTTAATAATCACAGGGTTGACAATGAATGCTGAGCCATTCTCTACATGTGGAAAACAAACATTTTACCACTTGGGAAGGGATTGTCAAAACAAAAAGAAAAGACGTGTGAGCTACACAAGTTACCAGTCTTTCCAGGGAATTCCACAGGCCCAATCCACTTGAAGGCTGGTTTGCGTCCTCGTTCTTCTGTGACATGAACTTTCTTGATCAAGCCTAGGCTGGTGAGAACATTGGCGATATCATACAGTCTTCGCACCTTTGCTAAGAAAGAGCAGAAACAGTCAAGACAGTCACATTTACAATGTGTACTGTACATATTCACATGGTAATTTCATTCCAAAATATCACAACTTTCATAGATGAGGTGGGTAAATTCAAACTGGGAGGGACTCAAGCCACATCCTATGAAGCCTGGCCAGCTCCCACCTGCTTGTCACTGCTTCTTCATATCTTAGCTGTTCATCCATCTTAGCAGCTCAGGTTTAAGATCACCTACCACATTCTGATGAAAATGGATTAGGGAGTGATTACATCATCAGCCTGACCAGAAAAGGCAGCTACCTCCATGTGAGGTTAAGACAAGCACTTGGGGGCAAGAGGCACCTGAGTGCATAGCTGATCGCAAGAGGACACATATTTCTCACCTTAAAAATGTAACACTCAGAAAAATCTCTGTGACTCCAATAAATAACATGTTTGAGCTGAGAATTATACCCACAGGTCGTCCAGCTAAACTCTTCAACGTCCCTCCCAGTATCTGGAGTAGAATTTGAAGACTGAAGTGCAAGTACTTAATTTTAAAAGTACTTTAAAGACTTAAAATAAAAATCTTTATTTTAGAAGAATTATTTAATAATGCTGAGTTTTTCCATGGATCAAAGTACTAATCCCCACTAACTGAAAAGCAAACTGTGCCATCCAGCTGTGAAAGATTTCTGGGGTAAAAAGGAGAAGTAACACATTTCTGCAGAGAATAAAGATGAATTCCATTAAATTGAACATGTTTTATTTCAATAAGTTCTGAAACATCATTCAGAATGGTAAACAGGGTTAATTTATGAAATAAAAAATATTTTTCTTCATTCTGAAGCTAAAACTTGAGATACTGGTCAAACTGACTCTTCCCCACCCCAAGCTCTGTTTTCACAAACTGGCATTTGCAATGATAAAAATCTCAAACCCTATTTCAGCAAAAAATTCCTGCCCTGCACTTGCTGTTACCTACTGGTGTCAGTCCAAAAATGACCGTGTTTTCTTTACTCACTGTCCAATTGATTAATCTCTCAACAGCCAGCTTACTTTTAAATTTGCTGTGGTCCACTGTATCCTGCGTTTCTTCTATCAGTATCTTTGCTGCGATGTCCAGAGTGACTATCTTGGTCTTGGACACAAGGAACAGCATGACAAACTTTCGGCTCATAATCCGCAACGACTTGTCCTTTCTGCTGTTTGCAGATGCTGTGTTACAAATAATACCCAAGCTTCTTAGCATATGTCATCCATCACAGCCAGAAAACTAGCAAGTAGGTTTTCTTACACACAAAAGGGACATTTACTTGTTAGGAAGCAGAAATCTTTTTAAAGGCAGCAAATAACTGAGTAATGCAGACAGGAGTATCTCTCCAACAGGCAATAAAAATTAAAGCTTGCAGAAATAGCTTTTAGAAAGTCAGATTCCAAAGCTGATTCTATGTTACATTACACAGTTCCGCGCCACTATAATTTTGTGACTGCAATGGACTTTGTAACTTAAACCGCTATGTATTGTACAGGTGGCATGCAAATGGTGGACAAATGGAAGATGGCACCTTCTCTCAGGATAAAGCATTTACTGTCAAGTACAGGTGGGGAAAGAACTGAAGTGTCTGGCAGAAGTTCCTGCCAGTCTGTAGGTCAGAGGGGAAAATCTGCCCTGAGACTTATGCTAGGGACAGGACAGAAGGAAGAATTCTGTCACCTCCACGGTGAATTCAGCACCTCTTTACAAAGGTTTTTATTATTTAATTTAAAAGTAAACCAAGGGGAAAAGTCACATAGCAAACTGGAGAAAGAGACTTGTATCTGTGTATCACATCACACACATTAGTTATCTTACCGGAGGTGCAATCTGGTTCTGAAAAGTCTAGTAATGGTCTGTCCTGAGAATCTGGAATAGTTTCCTTTTTTCGTTCTCCAAATTTGTACTCCAAGTCCTGCTCCTTGTGCTGGAAGAAGGTCATTAGCTCTCCATACTGCAGCTCTCCTGCTTCCTGAAGCGTTTTCAGAGTTTGGCTGAGGTTGTGCCGGCCATGCCAACAGTACTGGTTCTTGGCCACACGGCTAACCAAATGCAATGACTCCAGGACGTTCACTATATCATAAATTCGTCTTCGCTCAACCCCTGTTTTAAGTGGGGGGGAATAAAAAAGCATAGATGTTCATCTAGTTTTAATGTACTCTTTAGCAGAAGCGGAAGAGAGAACAGGCTGTTATCTAATACTGAGTGTTCACACACATTTTTCACTGTTCACCTGGACACATTAGAATAGATCCATCCATATTTGCCCAATTAAGAACTGACTTATGTATGCCCAGCTCTGTGGTATGATGACCTTCATCTATTTTCTTAACTGCCGGCCCAGCCACAGCTTCAATTTAAAGCACCTACACTGTGTTTAGAAGAACTGACGGCAGTCTGCCCAGCCCCACTCATTTGGACCTATCCACACTGCCCTGAGGTTTTCAGAACACTTTGGCCCTTCTTATCAGAGCTTCAGAGCTCAGACACATACCTGTATGCAAGCTTGTGTGTAACAGGAAAGGGTCAGAGCCTGGCACTGACACAGGGTAGATATAAAAGCTCACTCCTCAGGAACCAGTGGGAGTGTGGGCTTCCACTTGCATTTCTAATGGCACAATTACTTGCTAAGAATACACCATGCAAAGAAGCATCAAAGGCTTCACACAGTGCAAAGCAAAGCAACAGTGGGTCTCAGTGGAGAATGAGACCCACTGTTCCTAAATGCATCAGAAACAAGTCCTTAGTGCTGGCTGGGTCTGCACCATCTATGAAATACATCCAATTTGGGTTCAGCCTGACTGATGTGAGCAAGGTTGAGGACTGAATATGAACAGGATGGTGGCTCTGCTTACTGGCCTGAGTACTTGTGTCTGGCATAGCTGTTATATATCTAACACAGTACACTATACACTGGCAGCATCACCTGCACCAGAAATCCCATAACAGTTAACATCAGCGGAGCAGAACAAGTGCTAGCCAAGGGGAAAGGTTTGGAAAAACATCCCTGTGGAAGGCAAGGCCTTGATGCACCTGTTTACCCATCTGAAGAATACAGATAATACTTACCAGCCTCAAAAGGATATTAGGATAAACAATTTATGAGTATTTCCAAATGTGTGGAGTGAAACATACTCTGGAAAAACAAAAGAGTGCTACACATATCCTGGTGTCTGTCAGGCACCAGCAGCATAGCCCACTTTGTGTTCTTCCTGTAGGTCTTCAGTGAACAAAGCAAAAGCTGTATTGCAACCATAACTTGTTACAGGGAGAGCATCAACATCACCAGTGAATAATTTTGTGGTCCCTGAAGCAAGTGGATACAGGCAAGCAAGGAAGTGAAAACCAAAGGGAGAAGAACAAGCACACCCCCCCACACACCCCCCTTCTGGGAGGTAAAATCCCCAACATTGTTTTAAAACAAAGTTTCTAATATTTAAGAAAGGAAGGTAATACCACGCCCAACTCAGAATAAAGCACTACTAACGTTCAGCTGTAGTAGGTTGAAGCACTAGCATCTCATGCAAACACAGAAATGAGTAACTGGAAAATCTAAAAGAACAATTAGTTTAAAAAAAATTAACTATTTACTTAATCTGAATTCCCTCCTATTTCTACTTCCCATTACCAGGGCAAATAAACGAGTATATACCAGAGTCCAAGAGGACACCGCTGTTCTGTTTACTTTCTTCTCAAAACAGATACATTTTGCTATCTCTTTTCTGTTAAATACCTGAGTTCTAAATGTAGATACAATATTTATTTAGTTTAAGTCCAATTTTTTAAAGTCCTTCCTAACTGAGAGACAACCTGTCCACGACCTGGATCTTTTTGTTATTGGTGTGATCTGGCTGAGTCCTCTCTCCCAAGTTTTATTCCTTCTCTCAGACATTTCATTAATCTTTTAACTAAGACCAAACCTAAGAGCAGACACAGCAAATAGGCTACCTCAATACCTTCTTGCCACCTCAATACAACACATTTTCTCATTCTACTCTTGCAGGTCTCCTGGTAACCTGCCTTCACAAGAAAATATTTAAAGCTAAGATAACCTTGATGAATCATGAGATATTGGAAGATATAATGTCAAGCATATTACTGAAATCAAGTAGTAAAACCAGCTGATTTTCTGCATCTATTAATTTGCAATTGTTTCCTCAAATGTTCTATTTTGACAGTATTTGTTGTTTGCAAGTACTCCTTCAGAGGGTTTGTAACTCCTTCAGTTTTCAGCATATTGAAAATTTAAGAAAGCAATAGAGTTGGTAAACAGCTGGAGGATAGGTCTGTCTAGTAAAAAGTACTGTCAGAAAGCAGATTTCAAAATGGTAGTGTTATCAAATAGTAAAGATACTTAGGAGTATTAGGAATTTCCAACTCTTGGTTAGTACAATTAGAAGAGCATCCAGACTCAGGAAAAGGCAGACCTTGAATGCACTTTGTAAGAAGGATGATCTTTTGAAGGCTCTCCTGTTGGGTTATCCCAGGTGATCAGTTACCCCATTTTTACAGGTATACATACCAAGAATTGAAGCCACTTCATCCAAAGAAATAGTAGTTTTTTCTGTTGACAATGGATAACTTGGATAGCGAGCTAGAAACTTTTGGCACAAGAGTCCTAAGCTTTTCTGTTTTCTGCTGGGCCTCTGTTTTTCAAATTCATCAACCGTGCTGTCGTCTACTATATCATACTGTTAAAAAATAAATGTTAACCCTTTAGTGCAGAGATTCAAAAGCAAGGCACAGCCAAGTGAGACATATTTAAACTCAGATTTTCTAATAAGGAAAAATCATGGACTCCTTGCAAGTGCAGAGCACTGGGGTGACACACTTTTGCTACCAAGCTTACAAAAAACTCTTATTTGTGAGATCATAAAATAATGGTTATGCATAAGGAAATCAAACAGCAAGACCAAACACCTAAGATTAGCAGATGGTAAAATTCTGCTTGGAAGGATTATTTTTTTTTTGAGAGGAGGAGAAATATTCCCTCAAATACCTCTGGATCTAATAAACCAGAAGATGTACAAGTCATCAAACAGTTCTTCTTTTAAGAGATTTTATTGCCCTTTACAGTGCTTCTATAACTTTAAGGAACCAGGGGCTGAGCAGAGGGGACACATGATGCGAAAAGACTGTAAAAGGCACTACCCAGTCTCTGAACCTTAAACTCAGACAAGCTGTTAGCTTAAGTGGACTCTGTAGGATGGCCTGAATATGGCCTTTCTGTCCCTGCAGGGAAAAAAACAAACACAAACAAAACTGTGATGGCAAGAATGTATGAAGAAGTATGTTTATTATTACAAAATGAGGAAACTGGTGAATTTTTCTGCACTGGTAACTTTGGAGTTTTGCTTCTGTGTCAAAAAAAAGGAAAAAAAATCTTGCCCTCTGGTGAAGAAAAGCTGAGAGTGGTGACAGCTGATGAAACCCAAGTTTCCTTGTTTATGAGATCTTAAATATGCTTTACTGGTTGTGACTAAGTGACCTTGTGGCAGGCTGTGTCTCTGATTGAATTGTTTGAGTTTTATATGGCATGGAAGTAGCAGTATTCTTACAGTAACACTTCGACATCTTTTGTAAGTTAACTTTTTGTGTGGAGAAAATCATTAAGTGTGAGTTTTACTAACTAGAAAATATTTGAACCCTTTATAGTAGCCACCCCAAAAATGCTATGTGATCTTAGCAGGCTTGGAGTGGTAATGAAGTAACCTTTGACTGTTTTTTATTTACTGGAAGCTATGTTAGGAATTATCTTCAGAGAACTGTTTGTTCCTTTATGATTATCTAAACTGGACAATTTCCTATACTGTAAATGCTGTAAAATCTACACTTGTAGAGTGATCTGTACCTATCACATGATGCTTCTTAGCAAGAGTACCCCAGAACTATCTTCCTCTCATTGAAGTCACCAAGGAAGGATATTCTACAATAAATAATCCACGAGAAGCATAGCAGTGGTTAGAACAAATATCTGAATGAAGAAAACTGTAATGATGCCTGTTACAACTTGATGTCATCTTCTCCATGGATGGACTTCTTAAAGTGAGACAGGGATCAGCCCTGCCAATGCCTGAGTAAAAATCTTCCAAACACTTGACCATGCTGTCTGACTACTAGTTTGGGGGCTGAGGTGGAAAGGGGGAGAAACTTTTTAACCGACCACTCCGTGGGGCTGTTGTGAACAAGGTATAAGATTTCAGAATTATGCTGAAAAAAGGACCCCCACCACTATCAAATTGCTTTTGAAAATGCTGCCTGTCTGTTTAAAATGATCTGGCAGCTTTCTAATATGGTTCAGAAAATAGCATCTGAAGTACTTAAGTTGGGGAAAAAAATACGCATTTAAACTCTACATCCTTTGTTGTCCTTTTAAATCACATCCCGGCTCTTGAGGGGTCTCAGGTCAGCTATTCATAAGACAGTTACCTTTAGTCTTTGAAAGTCCTAATGTTTAGCCAGTGCTGCGTAGACAACTGTCCTTGGGAATGTTTTAAAATTCTGCAGTTTTCCATAGGGAGCAAAGGACCAGTTGGAAGAAAACTGAGACATAACTTAAGGGAAGTCTGAGTCCTAACTGAACATAAGGTAATCATGTTCTGAGTCTCACCTGTAATGAATCAGGTGTGTCACTCTGCTCACTGTTTTCTATGGGTCTGAAGAGCTCTTTCTTCTTTTCCCTGTCCCTCATGTCAGGGCTAGCAGCACTAACAAGCATCTTCAGGTTAGCAGTGGGGGTCCAGGGATCAGGCTGAGGTATGTCAAGGAGCTTAACAGGTGTAATTGGATTTCTTTCTGGTGTGCAGCCTTTTTGCTTTGATAAATCAACTGGTTCATTCTTAATGGGAGTCTTTGGGGCCATCCTGGATCGATCAAATATGTTTTCCTATTAAAAAACAAAGTTCTTTAGACACAACAGGAAAGAAAACAGTCTAACAATCAATTTAATTGCTCTTACAAAGGTAATTGTAGTGACTCATACCTTGGCACTCATAGCTATACTTAGCACAGTTCCTTCTGCCTTTGCTGGAAGCAGTAAAATAATCTACATTCTATTGTACTGGAGGCAGTGCATATGAGGTACTGCCCTGAACTACAGAACCCGAGGTCAACCAGTCAACCTTGTGGCCTATCAGGCTTTTAAACTCTTTTATTACAAGACAGCATTGCCCACAAACATAAGTCACCAAATTGGATCAAAACTGAAATAATGCATTGGTCCCATTACACTTAGCAAGGAAACATGTTGTCCTGCCTGAAAGGTCCTCAGTGAAAAGCCATGCTGGGGATGCAGCTCAGACTGTCATAAAATGTCAAACTAAAGTGGATGTAACTTCACGGGCAAGCGAAGAAAGCTTTGCATCTGCACTATCTGCTGCTCAAAACAATGAAGAAAATCTCCGTAACTATTCCCTGACTACAGCTAAGAGCTGCTAGAAGTATGATTCACCAGCTGATTTTTATCATGCTTTGAATGAAGCTCGACTCCCTCCAGTCCCTAGCTGCAAACCAACTTTTTTCATATTTCATCTTTGGGTCAAATTTTACCCCTTCCTCTTACTGCAAGAATTATCACTACAGATCAACTAATTTCAAGGGACTGACTGAAAAAAGCATCAATGGCATCCCTAAGCTGATAGATCTGGTTTTGAGCAACGAGACACTACTTCACTCTAGCCTGTTAGTGCAAATAGCTCAGGAAGACTAAAGGAATAGACAAGACAAAAATAGACAAATAGACAAGATGCCCTACTGGCTTTCTTTGCAGGATATCAAAAATACCCGAGGTCCAGGTATCCTAAACCTGGCACAGAGCAGGACTTCCAGAAAGTTGCACTATTGCTTTCTGCCTGGGGAGATCGATGTTCTGTGCTTAGATGGTCCAACTATCACTTAATTATCCTTAATACCCTACAAACATTGTGGGTTTCGGCACTCTAGTTAGTATTGCTCAGTGGTTTCTAGATTTAGCCCCTTGAAATGGTTGTATGCACCCTGAGGGAAGTGAGAGAAAGTGAAGTGGACAGATTATCAGAAAGCTAGCAGAGTTCATAACTTTCTGGGATTGGGAGTGAAGCCTTTGGAACCACAGCAGACCGCTTTTAAACTATAAATCGGGCTTGAAGTTGTTTGCTCTTTAGTCTAGCTGGGGTATATTTGGTGTTGGTCTCAAAGTGAGCAAGTCTTCTTGCTCAGACTAAACTACCACTTCGTTTTTTCAAAATGAGTTTTAAAAATCTAACGTAACAGCTTTGAGGCTGGATATTGTTATTATCCAATTCTGAAATATAGCCTCAAAGAAATGTTGTTACTATTGGTTTGACGTAAGAACTTTCCTAAGTTTTGCCTTTTATTTGAAGCAATTCATATATCACTAGCTGATACAGATATTAAATAAGTGATTCCAAATATTGTCTCATCAGGTACAGTCTAGTTAGAAAGCAGAAAGAAGTTCTAGCAGCAACTGAAGCTGGCTTTTACTAGGAGCAGTTCTGAAGCATTCAAACTGGAAATGAATTTGGCACATCAAAAGCATTGTGGTCTGAGTGCTGATGAAGAACATTTCTGCATACATTGACCTATGAATTACTCAAAAGGATGTGATACATGTATCTCCTTTTACACTTAAGTTAGTTAGTTGTAACTTAGTACACTGTGATAAATAGGGGTCAATTTAGAGGCCATGGTACTTCTTGGAATATATGTTCACAATGTTGGCACTCAATATATTCTTGCAATTTCACATTTGGCAGTGAATCAACACTTAATCTGTAATGGAGAAAGTCTACCTTCCCCTCAAGTTCCTGTTCACTATGGCTGGTGTTAATGGAACTGCAGTGAAGACAGCTGAAGCAACCTGCTGTTCCACTACCTCAAATTGTCATGTTTGTGCAAATAACACAATGAAAAAAGTAGTGGCATTACATGAGAAGCACATATCTACTATCAACCTTTCACATCTTTTTTTCCTGAATGTCATAATTGCCTACTAAGATAAGAAATGCTTTTAACCCTCTTTTTTTTCCTCCCCAATAACAGCAATGCTCTGTGATCTCTTAGCTGTATTCCACGAAACTTCAAGGGCAGTTGGTAGCACTGTGAGATTCACCTTGATCCGAGCAGAGATGGCTTACAAATACAAGAGGACAGGGAAGACTGGCTTGATAAACTTAGTATGTAAACAGGAATTGAAACAAATCTCTGAGATAATAGGAGCTCTCTCCTATATCTCTTAGCAAGAGCTATGCAATCTTTGGAGGATTGGATTGAGCATGGACAGCAGGTCATGAGTTGGGTCTAGTTCAGGAGACATTACTGAGCAAGGTATGACTGCGGCTAGATATCCTGTCTCCTGGCTGGTGGGGCAGGAGAGAACAATGAGCTTGTTCCTTGCTGAGTGGCACTGCTTTGCCTCTTGACCTGGGAGCACCACTGTATGGATACAGGCATACTTTTCCAGGACAGAAGGCAACCGTAGTGGACATGTCCAACAGCATGCTCAAACTGCTGCTAAATAACAGGACTATACTATTCCCATGTCCTGTCAGGCCTGGTGGTGGTTAGGTTTTGAATGAGTCTGTACAAAAGTCTCCTCCACCTTACCCAACAGTAGCCACTAAGATGCTTGGATTGTCTGGTGTGTTTTGCTTATTAAGTGAAAGCTAAAAACTGCTTCCCTGGGAATAATGCCAGAGTGTAGACAAATCGCTTGCTGGCAGTGATGTTACTCATGACTGTTTTACAGAATTGTCTTTTTACCTTAACGGTAGCATCGGACACCCCTACGGTCCAAGTGCTGACAGGTAAGATGCTGCTGGACAGACCAACTTGGCAGCCCAGGCCAGGCCGGGTGGGGTGGTCCAAGGGGCAGCACCCCAAATGCTGCCATGGGGAGCGAGAGGAACACGATCCGGGGGGCAGCACGGGCCTGGCCGCTCGGCCCGACCCACCTCCAAACCCCCGGGCCGGGGCTCTGCGCCCCTGTACGCACGAGGCTGGGGCGCCACGGCCCCGACCCGCTGCGGCCGGCCAAACCCTCTGCAGTCCCGGCTGCCTCCCGCCCCCCAC